TAGAATAGAGCTACTCACACACTTCCTTTCTCCCTTGTAAATCCATGCTGGAATATGTTCCCGTATCCGTGTGGAAAGCGTCCTCTGGCTACGGCCAATATGCCTTGCTCCACAAGAGCAGGTGAACTGATAGATACACATGGAGGCGGCCAGACGGTGGAGCTTATCTTTTACAGAGATGGAGAAAAACTTGCGGCTGGTGAACGTCATTTGTAATTTTGCTGCAAATAACGTCTTACTGAGTGCTTAAAAGAAACGGCTTTTGAGCATATCTGATGCTTGACCACCTTTGAATTCCAAGTTCATGAATAAGGTTTTCTTTGGAACTGAGCTGGTGACCAGTTTAGACTGCTTATCTTTCATGTTACTGTCAATAAATCGGTTCGGGTAACCATTTTCTGCTAGCCTGGCTTTTAGGAAGGAAACTTCCGAGTCAACTCAATCAGAACTACAAATGTTTCTTATCCTAAAGCAGAGTGAATGAATTAGGTTCCTCTTCCTGGAGATAGACACGCAACTGCAAAGACTAGTTAGTTGTTCATTCTATGTACATTTCAGGTGGATGGAGTTTTTAATAGATCCGTCATTGCGTCTACTAAGGCAAACATCAAACTCCTCTTCTATGGCGAACTGCAAAGCAGGATGACAGTTGTTGAATACAAACAAGATATCATCAAGGATTACGTTCTTATCGCAGATAAAGAAAGTGCCGTCTACTTATCTCCTATAGATGTCAAAGTGCCCGATGGTTTGATTAAGTTGAGAGTTTCCAAGCTTTGCCATAAAACAATCAGCCAGCAATGGACCTAGTGGCGATCCCATCGCAGTGTCATCTATCAGTCTGACAATCTCATTATTGAAAGTGGACCGAACATTCAACGTGCATCTCAATAAGAGCTTTTGATTTAGTTTGTCGGCAACCCCATTTCTAAACTATGTGCATCAATATAATTACATATATAGCATACAATTTTCATGAGACATACATTTATAAGTAGCGAAGTCACATATAGTGAGAACATGACCTTGTCTGAGACATTAAAATCATTAATACTCTGAATAAATTTAAATGTATGATCTATGGAAAACTTAAACAATTGCCTTCTAACTGGTTCCATCGTTTACGTTAGTCATTCAGCAATTTCGTGATAAGGAGAACCCCTCATATCAAGAACTAGACTAAGTGGTAAATTTTCAGTAGCGTATACAAACGTGGTATTATACTGCCTACTGGTCAGATGCGTTCATGTAGATCTGACGAGATTATGGATTTATTTCTCATTTTCTTCAAAACACTGGTCAGTTGGTTTTCGAATAGATATGTCTTGTTTGTTTCACCATCGGGTTCGGCGAATTTCATTTGGTCAGAAAGAATCATTGATACTTTATCGTTATAATCTCAGCACTTCATCCCTGCAACAGGCCCACCTTTGTCTAGGCGGCATATGATAATATCATTGTTCTCCTCTAATTCTTTAAGCTGATCTATATGTTCTTCGGTCAGAAGGTCATTTCATGTAAGTTTTGAACTAGTAAACTGATAGCAGCAATTAAAAACTGTGGATTTGAAATGTCGGAATTCTTGAGGTGATGCAGGGTATGAAATCGTTGGTTTGGCTGAACAGCTTTTCAAATTACACTTGAGTGTGCGACTTGTTGATTTTGGATGCATTGTTACAGAACTTAAAGCCCAGTGATAGAGCTTTTATTACAGTTTCAGAAAGAGTGACAGAATTACAGTTGAATAAATATTTATTGGGATCAGTCAGAAATCTCCTTCCTGCTACTACCTGCTTGAGGCTGTCGAGATGTCTGAGATTAGCAGACTGGGACTGTTTTTCAATAACAAGGGAAATGTATTCCTCGAATTGTTGGCGTTCATCAGTTGACAGTTCAAACAGAACATGACTTCTAGAGGATATGTTCCTGTTTAGCTCCACAACACAAGAACTGATTACATCAATACGACTAAGTGTATGGCACTTTAATGTTTTAAAATTCGCGTCTGAGCGCTCTCCAAAATACACTAGAATATTCATTTTTACTAACACAGCTTTCAAAAACGTTAATCTCAGATTTTATTAATGCAAGTTTGACAGAAGAGCGCAGGAACCCGCTAAGTTCCTTAATCGTCACTGGGTCTTTGTGCTTTTTTCAGTAATTTTATAAAGGTACAGTGGGAATTATGAATAACCTGTCTAGTTGTGAACCCAATGTAACTAGATTCACAGGAGCAATCAGACTGGTAGATATACATACAGCAGTCGAAGTTAAGTAGTTTGTTGTTATTTCTCGAACGTAAAACCGGAGTGGTTGTGAGCAGACAGCGTGCCTCTTCTGCATTGAATGCTCTTTTAACTACATTCTTCAGTCGCTTTGTTACTATTTTGCTGATGTTATCACCACTAAACTGCAGTTTTATGAACAAGGTCTTTTTCTCAGCTGTTGCCGTATTGATTTACCTTGGTGCTAAATTCGTATTTTTATCGATGAACTTTTCTGGCTGACCATTTTTCCAAAATTGTGCATTTGGCAATCCACTTGTTTTGATCATTTCTATCTCCATCAGTATGTTGCATATAATTTTTCTTGTTCAAATTGTTTCGGTCTAATAAAATAGGACCTCTGATAATATTATTTACTCTGGTGAGTATTTAAAATGTTTACAACCTGCTGAATAGCTAGTTCCAACTAAATTTGAGGAAAAGCATAATCCCAGTACATGGGATAACTGCTGGTTTGTAGGGATTTGATTGGTTACAGGATATTCATCATGAGCTGACATTAGTTAGAGAACCATTGGAAAACCTGGGAGTACTGGACAACTGTTTCGTCCTAGTTCGTCCTAGTACTGATGAAGAGTCCCAAACTAGGACGAAATAGCTGTCCAGTACTCCCAGGTTTTCCAATGGTTCTCTAACTAATGTCAGCTCATGATGAAAATCCTGAAACATGAGATAACTGTTCCTCAGTTGTGTTCTTTGTTCTCAAATATACTCCTGAAATTTTTATAATTGGCATTCAGGTAAAGGTCGTGCATTTCTCGAAGGAAAAAAATAAGAGGTATCATTATGGATTGGTTTGCGCTTCAGGTCAGACAGTACTATCTCACACGATCTCATGTCAATTAACATTTCACTTGAAGATCCTGAACGAAGAGAATATATGCAATATACTCCGCTGGAAATTCTGTACATTATGTAAACACTGTTCAGAAGAAAAGTATTATTATTATTAATTTTTTGTATTAACTTTCTCGGTTAATTATTATCCCCTGATATGTTGATAGCAGACTTATAGCTACTAGATTGGTAAATTCTTTTGTATTATATTAAAAATGCTACATATATATTTTCAATAGTTGGTTTGTAAGGATTAGATTTGTTTTGATGAGTTGATCACGGATTGATATCAGTTAGAGAACCGTTGAAAACAGCTGTCCAGTACTTCCTGGTTTTCAGTGGTTCTCTAAATGATATCAATCCGAGATCAACTCGTCTAAACATGTATATATGTCCTTAATACTTTTGTCTTCTAAGTGCCTTGTTAGGATGGAATAACTATCGTTGATTGATGCAATCAGTCAGGTATTGATTGCCTACTTATTGTTTAAGTTTCCGTTGACGTGAAGACGATATACACTGTATTGTGAATAATAAAGGTTATTGTCTTGGTTTTCGCAGTTAAATCTGATTTCTGTATCTACCTCAATGTAGGGGAAGATTTCCAACTGATCAGTTGGCCACAGTGTTGTGAATGTTGGCTCATTTTAATCAAGTTAGACAACAATCAACAAATCAGTGACACTCCGTTACAACATATCTAAGCGGGGATATTTTTCACATTGAAATCCTTGGAGTTACAGTTTGCGTTATAATGAAAGGATAGTTCGTGAAAATGTTCATATTCTTAGAGATGCGGGAATGCTTTGAAACAGAAAAAAATACTTCGGTTGGAGATATGCTTGTTTAGTGCTACAAAAAACGGATAGAAGACAAAGTGCTTTTATGACTTTTAACAGATTACTTAGGTTCAAGCCATATATGGGTAACACGACACTGTAGCTACAATTTTAGTCATTAAGGGTTTATTGTTTTAGAGTAATTTTCTGTTTCAGCATCACTTTTTATTTCTTTTCAAACTTTTATCCAAAAATTTATATCGGTAGTATGGACCTTATTTACTTATCGACAACAAAAGTATGATTGATTCGCTGATATTAGATAGTTGGAGATCGACAGGGAGCCTTGGACCTAGGTTTCGTACCAGTTGGCACTCGTCAGCACTGGGTGACGTGGGTTCGAATTTCAGAAGGGATATGAGTTCCTTCAAGGTTGCAGATACGCCTTGCTGACGAGTGCCTACTAGCACGAAACCTAGGTCCAAGGCTTCCTGCCGATTGCCTCCAACCATCTAATATCATCAAATCAATGTGCAACGTGATGGCGAGCTACCTAGAATGGTGGCCACATTGCAAATCTGACTGATAGAATTCAGTCTGCACAAAAGTATTAGTTGCGTACACTCAGTGACACAAACATCATCATCATCAGCCAGTAAAATGAATCTGCTAAATGAGAAATTAAACGTTGAGTCACATGATTCAATTTCTACTTGTAATGAATAAATATTCCCGTTTTTGAAATTAGAACTTGACATAAACGTAAAATAATGCTTTCAACTGGATCTTCTTTTGGCTTTACTCTAATGTACATAGAAAGTTTTAACCAGTGAACTTGAGTTTGCGGATCAAAAATAGTTAGCATAAAATGTTGTAAATGCGTCAGTAATAACGATGATTATGATGATAATAAATGTCACTTTGTAAGCATAAAGGAATACAAAGTGTATAATCTTTTGTAATTTTAATATTTTACCGAACAGTTCGGTTATGACTTAATAAATACCATTAAAAATAGTATTCAGAAGATTCCCATTATTTCATAGCACGAAATGAGCTTTTTAAGTTACGCAAAGTTAAAGAAATTCACTTTAATTACCTCTATCGGAATGAAGACCCTTCCGCTTGGCCCGAGAAGCAAAATATTTGGCTGTAATACCAAGAAGCTAGGCCTTGTTACATTGACCGGTAATAACTTAGAAGTAGTGAACTTTCCATCTGTCACTTTAATGTTTATTTGACCAGTTGGAAAACCCGTGTGTTGGAAACTGATAAAACCACTGGTTAATTCAGAATACCTGAACTGATATCTGATATCGCCTTCAAGATTATGAACAAAATATCCTATGTTAGGATAAGAAATATCTTTTCTCTGAAACTGCTTAACTTCCTCCCAAAAAATGCAAAAGTCACCTTTTTCAAGGACTGATTTGTTAGGATTATTATTATAGTATTCATCTGGCAACACTTTATCATAGTCCAAAACTTTAATGGATTTGTCTAATGTGTTATTTGTTTTATTGAATTCAACTAATAGTGGTAATATTGTCAAACTTGGGGGATTATCATTTACAGGAATAACATTAATTCGAAAAATAGACGTGACTGGTTGGCCGAATTGTTCTTTAATTGATGCATGTGTTAATCCTGTCAGAAGTGAGTTCATATCATCTTTATTACCTGATAGAAAAGTTGGTGTTTGACGGCACAGGAATTGAAAATGAAAACTATCCTGGAACTCTTCTTCATCATTGTGGCGATATATTAACAAATTATAATCAATTAACTTGAGGTTATATTCTGCAAAACTAACAATGTCAGTCGTAGATGAATTATACGGTGATTTTATTAGTAGTAAACCATGTTCTGGTGGTGAGAGTATTTGAAAATATAAATCATATTCTTGAAACATTTCGTCAGATAACTCCCGTGAAGAATGATTTTTGCACTGGGGATGTTGCGCATAAAATAATTCACGCGTTAAAAGGAGATCATCACCTTCTTCTACATATCCATCTTTATTTGTGATTGTGGGAGTGAATTTAACATTAGACACGGACAGTGTGCCAGAAATTTGGCTAATTATTATACTGAAATCATAAATTCTTCTGGGCTGAGCACCTTCTACATGGATACGATATTTGAATTTATCTGTTAAATCAAAACCTTTAGAGTTAATTTTCGCTAACTGCACTGTATTTTCATCCAGTACACGACGAAATACATAAAATAAATTTCCTTCTTTTAAATCTTTTTGCGTAAACTGAGAACCAGTGCCAAGGTAAATTTTTTCATCAGATTCTTTGGTGGTATGTTTTTGCCGATAATCACCATTTTCTCGACTCACAAGGAATAAGTGTCCATGTTTTGGAGTTTTTGTCAAAGTAAACCATATCAGAGAATCCTTTTCCTGTGGTTCAACTTTCACTTTTAAATACCGTGTATCCAGTCGTGATGCACGACTTTCCACACCAGTTAGTTGCGGGTTAATTTCATCACTGATAGTACTTATCTGAATTGAAAGGGGTTTACTGACAACAATATTCATATGAATTCGAATAAAATGAACTGGCAAAACTAATCTTAAGACGTTAGATACTGCTGACTTCCTGAAGCAAGTGATGTGTATACTGTCGGTGAACAATGTATGGATACTTTCTGGTTGAGCTACAAGTCCACTATAACGAACGTTTTGCTCGAGCACTTGTAATCCACTAAATGAGTCAGTTTGTTTCCATTCTGACTGACCGTTACCCATCTGTAGCTGTATGATACCATACTTAATTTGTACAACATAGAATTGATAATTTACAAATGTCTTCTGGTTGTATTCAAAAGTAATATTCCCACTTGATAATGGTATTAAGTTGGATGGATGTATAGAAACAGCTCTAACTGGTACACTGTACAAGGCTGGAAGCATAAATGTGGGTATGAAAGTTGTGGTGTTAGTGAATAATAACTTTTGGCTACTTGCATTGACTACCGAACGTGACAAACGCAGAAGAGTCCTTTTACAAATTACAAAAAAATGAAAGAATGCATAATACAAGAATGACAAATTCATATTTATACAACAACATTGAATTAACTGAAATATTTGGCCGTAAGTTAAAACAATTTCATATTTGGAAAAACAGGTGTCCTTGTATAAGCATCAAGTATTTGAGCATGTTTATCAGCAATACTGAATAATTTCTTTACTAACCAATACGGGATTGTAGAAATTAATCAGTTTTAACTCCCCTGTTTCGCTGTTAGTGTCAGGTAATTTTAATCGTTGTCACTACACGCCATTCACAAAATGAATTTCTGATTTCATTAAAATTAAAACTGTGGCAATAATTTAATCCGAAATAAAAACAAGTACAAACAAACCATAAACTTTTTCATGCATCCTTCAGAAATAATCATTATTTTAAAAGAACTCAGTCGATAGAAATCGCAGAATAATATTTGCGACAGTTGTCAAAGCACTGTCATATCATAAATGAAAGTAGAACTTCAAGCAAACCAATAGAAAACATAATGATACCAGCCGATGACTCCATGCCTAATTATAATTTCCATCTTCATTAACTATTGAGAACAGTAAGTTTTCCCGTTTACCAAGGTTTCCCATTGTAATGACCTAGAAATAATGCATTCAGTCCTAAAGCTAACCGAAACTAATTTTTTGTATGAAGACATCAAATGTTAATTCATGTATGACGTATAACTTGCAGAGTAATGAGCACAAATATTTTGAGAAATGCCAAAATTAAACACAGTACCATAATGGTTGATAGATTTGATCAAGAGTTGTGTGCTGATTGACTGCAGTAAGTGAAAGTATAATATGACTTTTGATTCCCAATTAATGAAAGAAGACAGAACGACCGCCTTACTGATGCATCTTTGACTGGAGTTGATATGGTTCACGTGGCAAAATATAGAATAAAGCCTTCCAGTATGGATAAAATTTTATTTTGATAAAGTCACACTGCGCTGTACACTAAGATTTACTCATGACACTTCCAGCATAAATTATTGCTCATAATCATCTCAAGTCACTCACACAACTTTCCTAAATCGATAAAAATTGATTAGGCATTTGAATAAAATCAATATAAGACATGCATGACACAGAAAGGAAGATACAAAACAGATCCAGAATAACAGATGGCCATGCAACTACGATGAAAGTTATTCCTGGTTGAAGCCAACCACGAACTAGATAGAAGTCATTCCAGCAGCGCAGCTAGCTGACTTCGCAGACCCACACTATGGGATGGCGAATGCTATGCACTTTGTCAGCTGCAACATCTGCGGATCAAATGATGGGACTTTAGTCAAAATCACGGGGAGGATGACTCCTAACCCATGAATTTGCTCTCCTCTTGTTGTGACTCTGCAAGAGATTTTCACGATTGCTAGATTGGAGACGGAACGGCTAGATGCCATGTTCGAAGTTTGTGTGACCTTTCCGCGTGTTTTTCGTTTCTTCTTGTCTTCATTCGTATTCTAAACTTTTAGGTAGTATTTTAGTATTGATGTCTACTATTACAAATAGCAATAGTTTTGCTATTTAAATTTGCTTCTCCAGCCGCCGGATGTTATCCTTACTATTTTTTCTGTTTCATTTGAAAACTGAGCTACTGTTTAAGGCATTACCACATTGAACATCTGACTTTGGGCCTCAAAATTACAACTGTTTATTCGACATAGCATCAAGTAATCCAGAATTCGTATAACTTCATTTTGGCAGCTCCTTAGAAACTTTGCACAACATTCCAGTGAAGCAATCTGAGCGTCGTGCTCCATTATCAGCAAAAGATATACAACAATTAAGACTAAGCAGCTTGGTAACACGTCTTCCTCTGATCCAACACAAAAGCTAAACAAGTGCGGGTCAGATATTACTACCTCTTCATCGTCTTGTGTAACAAGTGATTTTATTTAGAATATTTACAGTAGAACAAGTTGTGAATTAGGTACTGTGGGTGCCTACCAAGCCACACTGGATCTCAATAAAAAATCAGACATCAGCTCTTTTGATATAAGTATAAAACTTGGTCACTGTGGTAGAGTATAACTCCATGATTGTTAAGAATTTATTTTGATGTCACACAGTGTTGTACAGTAACATTTGCTGATGACGTTCCGAGGACAAATTATTGCTCACAATCATATCAAGGCTCTCACACAACGTTGACCGAGAGGTAATTTGGAAACTACTTCAACACCACGGAGTACTTCAAGTGTTAATCAACCTCATTCAACAGTTGGGAATACGAAGTTGTGCGTCGGTGGCACAGCGGTTAGGACGCTCACCGACCATACACATGGTGCGGAGTTGGATCCCCTGCCAACACACGCCTGATATCATTGGGTCGGCCTGCAAAGTTTGGGCCACTGATATCAGATGCTCAAAATTTTATACTTGTACCAAAAATACAGTGTGGAATCAAGCTATAATCATATCTACAGAAACAATTTTGACATACTTGCACAGAGTTCACTTTAAACAAAAATCAGTCAATCAGCATATCCGTACAGTAATAATATGCATGTATATATATATATATATATATATATATATATAATATTAAACACTATTCCGAACAACAGTGATCATACACAATGGAAACTTTCGGTATTATGTATTCAAATGGAAGAGAGATGAAAATATTCAGTTACCAGTGCAAAGAAAGACTGATAACTGTTTCTTTCTGAACGCACAAATCAGGTTTTAGGCGCTTGGTGGAGATGGCTTCAGCAAACTTGAGGAGAATTTAGCTCTTTTGCCTAATGATAATTTTGAACGATTTTGCGACGTCCATCTCATGGCCCGTGTCAATGAGATGCCTGGCGATGCCACTGTTTACAGCATTTGTTCCCTTTGGAAATAAGCTTTTTGGTACATGTTCAGAAAATCGTAGATATGCCCTTCTTTCTGTCCTCCCAATGTAACTGCACCCGCAGATACATGTAAATTTGTACATGCAGTTGGAGTTAACATGAGAAGGATATCAATCGATTTTTGATTGCATCAAAGAGCAAGTTGTTCGACAGATGGGAACCAGCTTAGCTGCAGGATAGGCTCTGGCTAGTGACATACTCAGTCTTCTGTTGACCATTGCTGCGTTGTTTTCACCTTTATTTTTTGTGTAAAATGAACTCTGTGCAAGTATGTCAAAATTGTTTCTGTAGCCTATAAGCAGCTGATGAGAAGGCAACGAAATAAATGATGATACCACTTTATTCTACAAAAACTGTAGTTCTCGCTTTATTGTATTTTATTGATAACACTTATTATTTCCGAATGTACTTTATCTTATATTGATTTTATTCAAATGCTTAATCAATTTTTACTTATGGATATAAATGAAGGAAAACGTGGTGTGAGTACCTTGATATGATTGTGAGCAATAATTTGTCCTCGGAACGTCATCAGCAAATGTTACTGTACAACACTGTGTGATTTATCAAAATAAAATCTTATCCATATTGGAGTTATACTCTATCACAGTGACCAAGTTTTATACTTATATAGAATGAAGTGTGTTAGTTAGCCTATTGGTGGGAGAGATTCCATATATTCGTCACTCGGTTCCCAGTGATTTCAGTTTTGACTGCCAGAGAATTTTACAAGCACTTGAAAATTTACGAGGAGAGCCACTCTGAAAATCTGCAATTAAATACTTATCTTGGATTTTCTAAAATACTGGTGTACTGTGGTACACCTTGGCTATTTCAGATAATACTGGTGTGTAACCGAATTTGCGCGCATTTTAGTTATTAGTATTTTGGTTATCAATTAAGTGTTACAGAGTTGTTTTCTTATACATTTCAGTCTACAGTTTTCTAGGAATCATCACAAGATCCTCTTTTTGCCTTCTCCTGATGTCAAAAACATTACTGGATGTCTTGTAAGCCCTTCCCAGTTCGTATCTTAATGTAACGATTGGTTTATATTTTAGATGAAGAATACAAAGATTTCATTCGATTAGTGGAAAACAGAGGTTGTATGTACAAAACCACTGAAATGTAGTTACAATGCATTTCAGCCTTTTTAATATATTTGTCTTGGAGTAGAAATATATTGCGAAACATGAATCGACCTGATATATCGAACATAAAGCTATTGCTTTTACCCAATAGAAAATTCACTTATGATTGAGTTAATAATAATAATAATATCTTTATTCTGGACAATATTTATATAATGTACAGAATTCTCAGAGGAGTTTATTGCATGATATTTTCCCTTCCCACAATATCTTCAAGTAAAATATTAAGTGACAGTATATCCTGAGACACAATGGTCGCTGAGCTAAAGCACAAAGCATTCCATTATGATATATCTGCTTTGTCTCCTTCAAGAAATTCACGATATCTAGTTAAAATGCAATTGTGAGATGTTCAAAAGTACATGAAACTAAAGGAAATAACTGAAAGACAGTTATCTAATGTATTGGAACACGTCGCCACCCACAATCAGACCTTTCCTCAAGTTTATTAGGAACTTGCGAACTGGAAGCAATAGAAGTCATATCCGAACGAGAGAAAATTTATGCAATAGAGAGATGGAATTTTTTGGCAGCCCACGTTTTAAGCAGGCCGTCAGCAGAGGAATCAGCGCTGTTTAAAACTATTAGCTTTTAGAAGGTTTAGGTATTTCTGGAAGTCTCTAAAAGGTTTCTGGTCCGAACTCATACCTCTGAAATTTTAGACAGTCCTATGATAAAATATTTCATCTGTATTTTGAAAGTCACAGGTTATTCAGTGAAAGCAGCTAACAGTCAAACCACTCCTTACAGTACAAATAAAATCGCTTACCTTATGTGAGAGTGTTTCGTAGATAAATTCTTATAAAAAGGCAAATATGAACTCTGTTTGATGTTTGTATCAGAATTTGTGTTCACTTTCAAAATGTGATCATTCAAACAATATGCACAAAAGTACACCAGATTGTTTCTTCTAATTAGTTCATATCTTCTTTTCATTCTTATATCCATACTGTGTGACAAATTTGAATGTTTAGAAGAATTCATCAGCAACTGAGATCTGATTTTACTCTAAAAATATAAAAGTCCCGCATTTGTAAACAACAGGGTCAAAGTTAGCTTTAGGAATACTTGAATACTGGGTAAGTTTAAGTCGTCAAACAATTGTACGTATTCCCCTCGTCTGATGTAAAAATGTTTTGCATCGTGTGTGTGTGTCCCTTTTATCAGTGTGATTCACTTAGAAACCCGCACCAATAAACACTTTATTCTACAATAGGAACAGGATTCATACGCTAATAACTAAATGACACACTCCAAAAATATTATTTAGTGTAATTCTAGTTACTAAACATCCTGTTGCTTCTCTCGACCGTTTACACTATGTATCCAGCTGAGAGTGAATACCGCGTTTGAATACATCAAAATAACACATATAGCTGTCAGAAATAATCATAAGTTCTGCACATGTAGACCTCAGATTTGAAGTTGTCTGAGTGCTTTAGAGCAACTGTGAATAGGTCTTCTCTTGTTCAACTTCATAACAATTGTTACAAATTTAAGAGAAGGTGAAGAATCTGCCCAAGAAATAGTATTAGCGGTTTGGAAGCAAGAAGACGAATGTAGATGAAGAACAAAAAATCCAATTTAGTCACAGAAGTGTGTCACAGGCTGCTGCTTCTTGGTTTCCCACACCATGGAATTTGATTTTTTAATCCACTTTTCCTAGGCCAAAAGGGATTAGTGTTTCGGGACAGCAGGGTCCAGAAGAAAAATCATTGAGGTCGGTTGCACACAGCTGGAGCAGTTTCATTCCTACATAAAATCTTACCACCGCCTGCAAATCCCTATAGGGTAGGCCGGGACAAACAGTCACTCAGCCACTCCTCTGTAGAGTAGGAAGTCAGAATAGGTGGCTTCCTCTCATACTTACAAAATAGAGTAAAAAATTACCATATTGTTGTAATTACTTTTAGTCTAACTGCTATCAAGTTGTCTTGTGTATCTATCTTACTTGTAGAAGCATTCTTTCCACCCAGCACAGCTGATTACGTCACTGTTGAATTCCAGCCCGACCACCTTGTCATGGTAGCTTCTATCTGTGATCAATAATTACTTAACAACATCCTTTTGAAAAAAGTCTTTCAGAATACTTCTTTAAGTTGATTGCCTTAAATTAAGTCCTCCTTCATTTTTAACCTAACAGCAATTGCTACGAAATACAACTGGTAAAATGAGACACCCCTTTTATTTTTCTCTTGGATTAACCTACTGATGAAAAAGCCATAAATGAGGTAACAAGTTTCAAGTCTGCAAGTGAACTTCTCACTCTTATGGTATAAATTTGTTGTCTAAAATCTATAGATATAAGTTGCTGATGAACTCCAAGAAACTGAAAGTTCTTATCATCTAAAACCGACGTATCTTGGATGCACACAGTTTGCAATCCCAAAAATTATTAGTAGACATCTGAGCCTTTTTTGTGACATCAGGCAGTCTGCTAGAAAAAGTTATGCAACACAAGTACGTGAGTCTTCTTCTAATTTAATTAATTAGAATTTTTCGTGTTATGTTTTTGTTTTGCTGTTATATCCCTCGTATCTTAGGGCTAGGCAGTTTTGCATATGTTAATAATCAGAAAACCTAATCTAAGACATACCCTTACTTTCTTATTTCTAAAAAAAATGTAAACTCCTCTAGATACCAAGATGTTTTGATATCATTATTTAAGTGTATGCCAGTACTAAATAATCATTTATAATCAATTTGACTATCGTTAAACAAAACATTAATTTCGACGACAATTCACAATACACTAACTCCTGTCATCAGGACAAGAACATTTTCTTCAATTGTTTTTGATATGACAATAGTTTCTGTGATACCCTACTTAAAAGAATTCGCTGTTTGTAGCTTAACATGGTTGTTCAACATTTCCTTCTGATTTTATTTTAATTTATAGTTTTACTCATCAATCCCCTTGTTCCTACTCACTATCACGCATAGGATTCTCATGATACATGTGTGCGTCATTCTACGAACTCAGTCACTCAGTTTGTTCTTTTTTTTCAAATTCTCATAATTTAAACAGGTACCATAATTATGGTGATAAAGAACATGTTACTACTTATTTTAACTTCTGCTGGAAATAGATTTATAGTATTTGGATAGTGTGTTTTCGCTTGTGAGATAACCAGGTCCGGTAAAAATACGCAAAGATATTGTTTTATTACCAATTCAGTTTTATTCAAACCATCAGAATATGTGAGAGTGGTAGCAGCTGAAGTGATAAAAAATTGATAATAGTATATTACATTCAAAGCATGGAAAATGCCAAACAATACACATCTCTCCAAAGTGCTAACATTATCTACTATTTAAAATAATCACACTATATTATTCACATATTGAAGGTATCTACTAAATAGCTAATGTTTAAGAGATTTGGTTGAGCTGGTAATTTATTTAAACGATTTAGTTATTACTCAAGATATTAAACCTAATTTATTTTGTTTATCGTTTCCCATGACCTATAGAAAGTATGACAAATAAATTATTTGAGTACTTCTACACCCGTTACTTACATACCTTCTACAATTTTTTAGCTGCTCAAAATTTCAAAACAGTTCTTAGCTTTTGAAAAGCGGCATCCTCATACAGCTGTTAAGTGAGTTTCATAAATATTTGGGACACTCCGAAGTGTTGGAGCAGTCTCCGATTCACTTCACTGTCAATGCTGTTGAAGGCTTTCTGCAAAGCCGATGAAGTCGAGGTAGAATATTTGACTGCCATTCTATACCCTGTTCAATGATGATGCATAGTGTTGCGATTTTATCTGCACATGATTTGCTTTTCCTGAATCCAGCTTGCTCCAGGTGAAGTCTTGCATTCACAGCATCCTTTAGTCTCTCCATGATGTCTCTGCTTGGTGTGGACAGGATCATGATTCCACGCCAGTATTTGCAAATGTGCCTGAAAATTCCATTCTCTATAGTAAATTACTGCTTGAGATAAACTGATTACTATTATTTCTTCCTTTCGAACTTTCTGCAATAGTGGTGTGAGGTAGCCGGTAGAGATCTCTGGATCCACTCTCTGTGCTTCCGGAGGAATTCTGTCTGATCCTGCTACCTTCCAGGTTTTCAATAGCTTTATGGCATTCAAGATTTCTACTTTTGTCAGGAGATTGGTGTTCACTGACAATTCTGTGGTTGTTGATTGCATTTCTGGACGCATTGTAGGTGGTGGTTGGTTAGGGAGTCCTTTGAAGTGATGAGCCCATTGCTTTCTTTGTTCCTCTTCTTCAGCAGTTAGGTTCCCTTTAATATCTTTATTGATTTCGCCTCTGTTGATCTCTTCCTGAAAAGTGACCTGGTTATTTGCTATACTGTTTTGAGTTTCTTCTTACCTGCAGCCCGTTCTGCTTCAGTTGCCAATGTGTTGTAGAATTGTCTTTTATCCTTCCTAGCACCCATTAAGATTTCGATATTGCCGTTTGGAGTCTTGTCTATTACCATTTGCTGTTGTCTGTAGGATTCCTCCCTCTTCTCTTTATGTACGTTGTTTGTAGAAGTACAGCATTAGTAATTGTAATTTTTCACTTTTTGAATGGAACGTCGTTGTCACTACCCTGGAGAAGATTAGTTCCCAATGCATAGGATCTTTGGATGCTGTTGGTAACATCATGGTAACTACTGCCTCATTGTGCTTCATCTGGACAACTGAGGTAGATTACTAACTCTCCAGTTAACATTTTGGACAGTTCACCTTCCCTCCATCTGCTGTCACAGATTCCAAGTACTTCTATACTGTATTTTCTCATTTCTTTGTCAGTTTGAGTGCCTTATCAAGCTTTTAACATCTTAGGTTTATTCGACGTTTACATGTTTATTTTTACTTTTATAGGAATAAGAAACATCGTCTGACTGGATTCCCGAAGGTTTTCACCAGCACGCATCACTTCGTCTTTCTAATTCCACCGGATAATAAGTTTATTATTGATGCTTTTTCTGTACATTGAAGTTTCTGTAGCTATTAGGGTGACTTTCTTGGGTAGAGGCGCTAACACCTCTCCCAAACTATACCCCTTTTCTGGATTTTGCATCGGTCAGTAAATTTGGTGAGGTTGTTCTAATGAGGTACACGCCGGTGAAGTACTTTCACTCCATGTGTGAATTTGGTAGAGTTCATTTACAAGGCTAGACAAAACTAATGACTGGTACTATTTTGTAAATGTCTATGTTAATACAATGATTCTGCATTGATGAATTTGTGTTTCAGTTGAACAATGTAATCTGGCTATATGATTATTTTGTTTCCTCTATAATCCGATGAGGGATGTGCTGAATGCAATCAACCGATATACTTTTCGTTGTCTGTTTCCTGTTTTTTTCATTTTACGTTGAGTGTACTGACCTGACGATTACTGTGTTTTATAAGTTGGTTAGAAGCCAACAATCAATTTATGTGTGATCAATACTCAGAAGTCATGGATTATCAAAAATAACGTGTGGGTAAATTAAAACAAATAAATAGCTTATTACGAAGACAAGAGATGAATGCATTTGATTCACCACAATCGGTTTTAAGCCATTTAACCTATCATTTGTAAGCATAATTTTCGGTCGTCAAGTGAACCAGAGAAGACCAAAAAGTATTTCTCTATATGGCTTAGATCAACAATCAGTCATGTTTTAAAGTCACAGTATTGGATATAGCTGATTGCTGCACAATATACTACACTTAGTAATCTGCCAGATATTTTTCCTGTGTCAATCAGTAATGCCACTTAGGGCTTTCAAATGAATCGATTTTATTCCCATTGTATTATATGTCTACTTTATTATCTTTAATTACTTGTAATCAATATTTAATTTTTGTCACGCTTCTAGATTATTCTTTTTTTGTTGTACATAAATCGAAATCAGTTCCAATTATAATTTCCTAAATGCAACCGTTTTTATTTTGAAGATCTGGTTTTAAAGTTCAGTTTTTTTGTTTTCTTATAATTATTATCACGTAAGACAGTTAATAGCTGATTATAAACATTAACGTGAAATGCTCCCATTAAC